TAGAGAGACAAAAAGAAGAGGAAAAACAGAAACACCACACCACATTGGCGTAGCGCAAGTTAAAATCTTTTATTTTGTTTCTCGTGGGTTGGGCATAAAAAGCGAACTTCCGGTGTTTGCTCAGGGTCTAAAGGTACAGGGGGGGGTTGTGGTGGGGGGGGGGGGGGGGGGCACTTGGGTATTTTTTGGGTGGGTATGTGCCGCCCGGGACTCCAAATTGGCACCCCGTTCTAAAAAAATTTTCCCCTAAAATTGATCCCCCGTTCTAGAAATGGGCCAATTTTTTATACCCCGTTCTAGAATTCGCCCTAAAACTGATCCCCATTTCTAGAAATGGGCCATTTTTTTATACTCCGTTCTAGAAAGTTTGTAAATTGAAAGAGCCCTGTTTTTTTTAAAAAGATATTTCTCTATTTGTTCGACTTATACATCAAATAAATGCTTCTTCATAATCAACAACAATTTTAAGCAGAAGATAAAGCCGTGATCCACAATTTTTCATACCCCGCTCTAGAAAATGCCTTTGAAATGGATACCCCGTTCCAAATCAGGAGCTTCAAAATCACGACCCCGTTGGGCGGCACATACCCGTATAGGTAAGGTATGGAAGTACCACCCCCGGGGTGGTTAGTTCATCAATTGTGGCCCTGAAAAAATTTGAAGGAAAAAAACTACCAATTTTTAAGAAAATGCTTTTTTCGTGAGACGGACTCTTAAACGCTGACAAACGTCAACAAATAGCTAAAACTATATTTTGCATATGTTTGCATTACTCGAAATCGCGCGCATTTACAAGACCCTGAAACTTTTTGCTGACTTGCAAGGACTCATCTGTTATGAAGATCCCCAAAATAAAGGGATAAATCTCATAGTTAATTAGACATAATCGTGTAAAGCTTGCTTATCATTTTCGCATAAATTATGACCTAAATTTGGAAACCGCTGAATTTCTCGCATTGGGTCTTTGCGATTTTGGTGAAACTCTGTTCAACGCAAGGCACTAATACGCACTATACGTAGCCGAGAGATTTTCACGAAAAAATGCCGGCAACAGCAGAATTTCGACTCAGACCCCAAAGAGGCGTGACAGTAACCACCTGACACTTACTCATATCGCCAAACATTTTATGCTATATTGT